GCATCAAGGCTGTCCAGGGTCACAATCGCTGGGTGACGGACAAGCTAGGGCACTCCAATTTTTATCAAACGCGTTTACTCGCTCGATCCAGAGTATACGCCAAAGATGGTCGATGAAGGGAAGCTTCCACGCACCAACATGATCCCGGATCAAGAGTTCCTCTCTTCTCTGCCGAGGGTGTTGTACCACTCGTGTGACCGTGCCGCGATGGAAAGCATCATTGGCACTGGGCTGATTCCCGGAGGATTTCCGACGAAGACTGGCAGGGCACACAACTATTTTACCACCTGCCCTCCGTGGAAGGCCCAGATGCGCAAGCTTGCGGGAACGCGAGCCGGTCAGCCAATTTACCTGGCGTTCGACACCGAACTTGTCATGCAGCTCGGCTGTAGGGTCTTTGCCACGCGCAAGAGCATCCTCAGTTTGGATTGGGTCTCAAATGCAGCACTGATGTATGCATACGATGCCCGCTCCAACCAGTTCGTCTGGTTCAATCGAGCGTATGCAAAGACACGGCAGAACTATCACGAAGAGATCAAGAACCATTCCACTGACGATCCACAGTTCCGCCTGAGCAAGCTGGCCGAGGCCAGGAACTTTATGCTCAACAATGCTCGCCGCAACCAGCATCACTTGAAGGTCGGCGAGACAAACCTCACTTGGATGACCGGCCCTTCTTGTAAGTATGTGGCCAACTTGTCATCCAGATGGCTAACATGCAACTGACATGCAACTAGCTTGGCGGATATAGCCAGCTGAACTTAGCGAAGGTACTAAGTTGAACCTGGCGCACTTGGCAAGTAGACTTAGCAAACCCGCTAAGTAGACTTAACAGTGTCCGCTAAGTGGACTTAGCGCATCGACTAAGTGGACTTAGGGCACTTGCCCATGTTGTCTAATACGATTCTAAGAAAGAAATTTCATTTGAATTGGGCTTTGGGATTGACTTGGGCTTTATGCTTTATGTTGGTTACTGGTGAACACACCCTACTCCGCTACCAAACTGAAGCACTGAAGCGCCGCCATCTTTGTCTAGTAGCTGCCCCTGTGGCACTTAGTTAGACATAGTTTCACCTGCTGTTTGGGCCAGGAACGCTAGCAATTTCTGGTCAGTGCGCCCACATAGAGTCAGAGGCAGGAACCCGCGCCCCCACACTTTGACAGGCGCACACACATAAGCAAATTAAAGATGGATCACATGCCGGTGCATCATAATATCAAAATGTCCCACTCTACATACCAGACTTGGGAAAGGTGCGTAAAAATGCGTCAGCCCACCTACTGTTATATTATGTTTGGAGTGTTTATTTATTATATAGAGTGTGTCAATGGTCCAATGCAATCACTAGAAGCGCGAATTTTGTTGGCGTTTTCCATGACACCGTCCGGCTACAATGACGCTTTACGCTGCACGTTACGTTTGAACTTCCGGCCTCACACAACCACGAAGTTAACACGAGGCAAGCACATGGTCAGACTAACGTTACCATGTCCATTGGCATGACCACTTCTGACAATACGGTCCTCGAAGAAGCTGACTCTTACAGTGAGACCCAGAATAATACACAGATGTTTCGATCTGATGTTGATCTCCCAGTTGGTCATGCCTGCTTGAAGTGAAGGCCACTTACAAAAGTCCTTTGTATAGGGTCAATGGAAAAACATTCAACCCAAGAACCCCAATTACCAAAAGCTGCCCCACGAAGCGCCAAAAGCACGGCAGACCTTTCTGCCGCCGACACAAGTCTCAGTCAGTCAGCTGGCTTCCAAATTGGAAGGCTTCAACATAAATCTACTCCACGTCTTCCGGCGGAGCTTCTACTTCCTGGTCAGCTTCGAGTTCCTCCTCCTCCTCTCCCTCACGTTCCTCCTCCGGCTGCGGTGGTTCTTTCACCGCCTCTTCTTTGGCTCCATCCGCTCCCTTTGCCGGCGCAGAAGGCTCAGACTGCTCAGTGGACTTGTCTCCTGGCGCCTCCTGCTCCAACAGCGCCTTGTGCATGCTCGCCTTGGCCGAAGCAAAAAGCCAGCCAACAGTAAGTACCAAGACACGCGGATGACCGCAATCCAAGAACTATGTCAGTCTCCCACAGTAAGAGACCAATGTTGGTTTTGGAAATCGACAGGTGGGCACACTGACTATTGTTCTATAGTCTACATTGTATAATTATGCCTTCTCTACATTTGACTTGACACATCACAATCACCAGCGGGGTGTTTGCATGCGCTCCAAAGGACAATGGTTTGCTTCGCTACGTCAATCGATTTCCCTTGTCGAAGAAGGTCAATCGCCACCATCGCAATCTCTTTTGACTTCTCGGGCAGAAACCGCACACCACCAGCCTTGCAGCTCCCCAAGGCGTGCATTTTTGATTACGTCTCAAAGTTTGCGTTTTGCTCCAAACTCAACAAGTCGGCTATCAGAACCACTGCGGCCACGGCGCGCGACATACTTCTTTGCCGTTGACATTCACTCCCCATGACCCGTTGTTCTTATAGAAATATGGCCCACGCACATTGAGCGGCTTACCTGCCACAGAATGACAAACTGCATTAGCGTGACAAATCGCACCCCACATGATGAGCCAAGTGTAGAAAAAAACGGCCCTCCGCCTTCCATCTCAGCGGCTGAGCGTTTGTTCGATGAATTCTTGGCCGAAGGGCGTTTCATGACACCCTCAGAAGGCTCAGTCTTTGACGGCGCAGCCGTGTCAGAGTCTGGCTCCTCCTCTTTGGGGGATAGTTGGGTTGGCGGCGGGTCGGAGTTGGGTTTCTTCTTCGGCAACACCTTGGCCGCCTTAGCCTTCGCCTTTGAGGTTGGATGCAATTTGGCTTTCGGAGTAACCTTCGGCACTGACTTCGGCGCTGACTTTGGCGCTGGCTTCGGCGCTGTCTTGGGTCTAACAGTGCGATCATCCTGCGCGACTTGAATAGATCCGACACATAAAAAGCACGTTGGTGGCATTGGGAAACAAAACCGCTGGCAAGCTTGCTAATTTAATCAGCGGAGCTTCCAAACCAGTCAAAAAACACCCATCCTTCTCGGAGCCAGAGTCACCGGAGAGTTGGTCTGCAGCGGCAAACACCACCATCTCTCAAGTTCAGGTGGCAAACGCACGATACTTGACAATGACTGAGAGCTTGACAGGCAAAGGCGCAGGAAGACAACAGAATTCAGCCGGCGCATTCAGGAATAGTAATAGAACCCGAAACACTGACCCTGACTTCCACATGTCTTCTGTCTGTGGCATTCTGATTTTGCTAAAGCCGTGACTGGTCCTATCGAACTGCCAGCTGCAAAATGGTCTTGCCCAAATGGCGCCCGCTAGGCCATCCAACAGAAAGAACACAGCTATTGGACACATACCTTGGAACAAACCATAAATCACAAAAAAAAAGGACACGAATGAGCTTCTAGCGGGCTCCGGCAACACGGTCTTGGTGCCTTCTGTAGTTTCGGGTCACACTGTTCAGTATATTTTTACTGTAGTACATTAGTATATATATATATAAGAGTCTGTTTAGAAACAGTCAGTATCATATGTTGGCAAACACTGTTTCTTTGGGACTAGGCTTGACTATATTCTAACCTGACACCAACACCAAATCAATATATCATCTCACACAGCCCCATTCCTCGGTGGGGTTGGTCGAGCAAAATCGTGCCGGCAGTGAACGCTCGATTTCAAAAAGCTAATCACGCAGCGCTGATATTGCACCAGCTATGCTTCGGGATGTGAAGCGATGCCGTAAGGTAGACTTTCGGCTTCAAAGCAATCACTCTTCCCGGGCTAGCCTGAAAATTCACCTGCCAAGAAAGGACTGACACAAAATCAAAACCCTTCATTATATAGATTTGCTTCTGAAAACAGCTTTGCGCCTCATAACGACACGCAACCCCATTACAGTAACTTAACTCGAAAGACATTGTAGCTGTAGCTAGGAGTTTTGGCCTCCCAAACCACTGATGCCCTTTGATTCTTGATGATCTTGTCCATGGAACCTTTGTAGAGCGCCCCCAAAGTCTGAGCTCGGAATGAGTCAGGAGGGTCGTTCAGCTTGAAGACATTCGTGTTGTTGCTGCTCACCGGGCCGACATGGTAGCGGAAGCAAACAGGCAATTCGCCACCGCCTTCACCCTAGGCAGTTTCCAAAGCAAAGCACACGACGGACATTCTACATGATTCATTGGTCGGGATTGGCTTGGCGGAAGTAGTCACAAAAAACACACCCCCCTTCTGTGCTGGAAAAGAAAAACAGAACCCGATCGTTGATTCTTCCAATGACCACCAATATCTATAGCCAGATTCTCGGCAGGCGCTCAAGCATTGCGCACCCCTTCCCACTAGAAGCGCCTCCGTTTTAGCCCACCGTCCCTTCACGGCAGGAAGTCACATTGCACGTTTTAGCCGTTTTCAAAGACACGATGGCAACTTGTGAGTCGAATGTGGATTCTCAAAGAAAGAAACCATCAAATAAAAAAAGAATATGTCACTCAAGACGGTGCTTGCTGCAAAGCTTTTATTCCCGCGCTGGAAAAAACGCAGCTCACGGCGCCTTCACCACACGTTGCGTGAGCACGTGGTCGACAAACTCAACCTCTCCAAGACCGTGGTCTACCGCCAACATCCGGAGGAACTGGCACACAGGAAGCAGCTTCTTGTTGTAAGCCACAAAGTGAAGGTCATCCACCACGCGCCAAACGACGCCATGGAGCTCGCGACTAGCATCACCTACAGCAGCACCAAAAGTGAAAGGCTGATTGTTTGTTTACTTTGCCAAATCCCCGACCAATTCATCAGTCGATTCCACACCCAACTACACGACTGCAAGTATCCTAGCAACAACGACAGTCTGAGGTGGCTGCTCACCACTTCAGCTTTGAAGTTGCCGAGGCCGAATCCGAACAACTCCCCAGCGTGGACCATCAAGTCTGCATCGCTGGTGTTGCCCAACCAAACAGAGAAATCGTTGGAAATGGCGATGGCTGGTCTGGAACCGCTCATCGAAATTTGCCCGCGCCTTTGACGAAGGTTTGGTCAAAGCGAGAACAAAGCAACTTTTGGAGGCACTTAATTTAGACCTCAAGAAACGAAACCCCTGGCTATAGCGCTGACAAGGTGCACTCTGACTGTCTCGAAGTCAGCCACTGAAACCGATGGCAAATCGATGCACCGGCTAACATCAAGCGGCGCGCGGCCAGAATCGACAGAAAAGTCGCATAGGCCGCCGGCCCTTGCAGGCACACTTGTTGGAGGAGGCTGCGCAGCAGCAGGAAACATGGCATCGAACTCCTTCTTTTTTGCCATGATTTGAGCATGCTCTGCACTCCCCTCCAGAAAGCGATCCACCAACACCTGTGGAAAGACAGGCTGCTTCCCTGCCCAGGCCAAAGCTCCCAAAGGAGGGCAGGCGACCTCTGCCGCCCTCTCTTCACGAGGACGTTCTTTCGGTGGACTGGTAGAAGAATTGTCCCAATGCTCGTACACTCGAGACCTCACGGCTGAAGTGGTTGCATCAAACTCCTGGAACAGAAAGCCAAAGTAGTGGACTGGGAAGGCAGATTCAAGCAAGTTCCGCTCCACCGTCGCGCGTCCGAATTCCGCAAACCTGCGTCAAAGAAAGCTCATGGTTTTTGGTATGAGACGGACGGTGTGACATCCTATACTTCACCAACAGCATCACAGACTCAACACCAACTTTAAAACTTTAAAGTATCAAGCCTGTTCGGAACGACATCGACCATCAAGACTGTGTCCACATCGCGCAGGGTCAAGCCATCCAAAATGCCCGCAATCATAGTATCACGGCATGGAACACCGCGCCTTGGAAAACTAAAGACGGCCGAGCGAATGCAAAACAGCATAGATTTGAAGGCAATTTTGAAGGGGAACGGGATTCATCAAGGAGGGGAAAAGATTGCCTACGCTGTTTTCATAAGCAAATGAAGTACTGGGCCAAATCGAAGCAGCTGCTCTACTCTAGCCGCAGCGCCCGGCTTCGACAACTCGCCATCATATCCGATAAAGTCTGAGATCTTCACCAGATTGCATGGGCCGAGTTTCCCTTCGCGGATTGCCACACTGCTGGTGAAAGCGTGCTCTGAGAAGTGAGTGTGAAAGCAAGCGATGGCTGTTTGGCAAAGCGCCCTGGCATCCTTGGCCGAAGAATCTGGCTTCGCAAACAAGACCTGAATGGTGTGGTGCGTAGATAGCCCGGCGTTCATGAGGTTTGTCTCCAATAGGTGTTTGTGTTTGAGAAGAGCACCTGGAGTCGTCTGTGTTTGGTACACAGGCATGAGAACAATGCCGACTGCGTTGCTTGTCATCGATAGCAACGCAGAGAAGGTCTTGTTAGCGTTGCTCATGTAGCTGGCGTTCGCCGGAAAAACGGTCGCGTCCAGACAGCAAATCATAAATCTCAGCTACAAATTAAAACAGGCTCATCACAACTTCGACAACTACCCCGTGAACGCTCAACGTGTGCGTTAGACCATGGAAAACTGTCGCTATAAGGGTCAAAGAAATTTTAATTTTGGTGGTAAATGTTACCAAGCCACTCATCGCCGCCCTTGGAACGAAACTGTTCCTTGAACTTCAGAAACTGTGGAATCGCAGAGTCAAAGTGTTCATCTGTCCTGCTGAAATGGCACTTCTTTGCCATCCACACATCGATGTACTGTTTGCCGTGCCTGGGTGACACCGGACGAATCAAAGAACCCAAGTAGCTAAGAACTGAAGCGCTCTCAGCAGCAAGGCCCTCAGCCCTCAAACAACAAAACGCCAAGGCGCTGCTGTCTTTCTCGTATGTATTTCATGTCCAACGCATGCGCCTCGGCTTCCTTGCCAGAAGACTCCACACGACTTCGCAGCAGCTCGAAATCATTTTCCAAGTTGGAAAGAAGTCGGTTCAGGTCAGCTTCCCGGGCAGTCGCGGCAAGGGCTGCCTCCTTCTCTTCCTTGGCCTCGCGGACCATTGTCTCGAGCTGTGCCAGAAAAGGCCTCGACAAGCGGAAACATGACACAAGGATTGTGGCTACTATCTTGAATTCGGCAACGGTTCAAAAATTGCCCGGGAATTTCCTACTTACTACAATGTCACGAAGTCTATAGCAGGGCAAGGTCAAAGTGATATTCTTGGTCTGGAAGCCCTGCCCCACTCTTGGCCTTGATATTGACCTCATGAGAAAGAATTTGTGATATAAACCTGTCGACTGTCAATTTTGATTCGGCAACTCAACACGTTTCTCAAAACCTTGTCACACATCTGCCTCACTACAGAAGTCAGAAGATTAACTCATTGTATTTGTTGCGAGCTGCGAGCCCCGCATTCTTCCTGCGTAAGAGCCGAACCCCACGCCTGAATGCTGCTACGGTCTTCAAATCACCAGGAGGGACTTCAGACGACACCATGTGCAGCAGGTCTGGGTCCATAAAGGATTCCATGAACATCTTGTGAAGGCGATCCTGCATATCCTTGAACTGCGTCGCTGGGGCGTTGCGCTCGAGACAATCAAGCAAATGGCAAAACATACCACAGCATTGATGCTTGGGAACTGCATCCTTGTAGGTCAATGCCTTCCGCATGGTCTGAGGACAACGATCGTGGTCGGCCAGCAGGCGAGCCACAAATAACTGCACCTGAAACAGCTCTTGCCAAAAGCAAACAGCAAGTTTCCCATGCCTTTAAAGTTTGCAGCAGCAGCAGCAGAAGCAGCAACCCTCCAGTAGATTCTTACCCGTGGAACAAGAACAACCGCTTTCTGATCTGAAATCAAGAAGTCACGAAATGTGGTTATATATGTTGTTTAATATACCGTTACAAAGTTATCGCGTGATCGCCGGCTCACAAACACGCGCGCGACACCATGCGAGATCATCAACCACTTTCAAACCTGTGTTGCCTGAACCTGTGTTTTGAACAGTTCACAGTTAACCAATCATTGCAGTTTACAGCGGCAGCTTGCACCAAAAAAACATTCACTAAATGTCAAAAAGGTGGGGGCAGGCAGCAACTGAAACAGCAGATTGTTTCGACCGAAGTTGAACACGACGGTGGGGAGTATAGGCAATGGATTGACAGGTGGGTTTAACTCATCGCCATGAGGACGGGGATTGAAGATACAAGCGCAAGTTCGCGGAACGTGTCCATAAATAATATATAAGACATATTTGACCAAAAACAACGGGCAGGACAGCGCTTTCACGAAAAGATTGGCGCGCGACAAAAAGCAAAATAGAGATGGACGAGGGATCCGGGCTCAGAAGCAAGCAGATCACTAGCATGGAGAGACTTGGACGACCGACATAAGGACAGAACAAACATTCAACACAGGAGATTTATGATGAACTTTCTACTCAGCTGCCTTGAAATTCGATTACCAAGAGAGGTTGAGGACATAAACACGAGAGGCGGATAGAACAAACAACACGGGAGATTTACGATGACCTTTCTACTCAGGTGCCAAGAAACTGGATTACCAAGAGAGGTTGTGGACATAAACACGAGAGGCGTGACAAGGACCAAACCTTATGACACATTTCGCGTTAAGTCCGGTCAATCTATGTCTCTTCGTAGGTCAGAGGCTCATGAACATTACGTAGAATCGTGGTTGGAATGGACAGTCACTGCTTCAAAAATCGATGTGGGCAATCTATCAATGCATGTCTTGAATCTAGGCTAGATGCAATTCGACCATCTTCTTTGTTGCGCAGCACTTCTTTCCAGGATTCAGCAGCGGCTAGTCCAGACGTCCACGACTTGCTGAACATGCCACGGGAAATCACCTCATGGCTCAACAACTTGGCCATCCCTCGGCATCGTACGGCTTCAGTCAATTGCTCCGCGACAGAAGGATCGATGGATGTCATGAGCGCACTGACTGCGCCACTCTCTAACTTTCCAATCCCAAATGCCCGTGCCACGCTGGACGCGGACTCCCATTCCTTGCAGGCGGAACAAAAGATTGAACTAACCAATCTAGGAAATGTGTCTTACAAGATCTACAAGAAGAATTTCAAGAATACGGTTTCCATACGCACATTCTGGACAGGGTAGTTCACAGCATTTCTCCAAATCAATAGCCACGCGCGGAGCAACAACTGCCGGCGTAAGGGATTGGCACTAGTATGCACTAGTATGGGGTCATGCATTCTGCTGTCAGAAGAAAACTAAGAAAAACGTGTCGCAATCATACAACAGTGGTCTGGACACGCAAGAACACGCTAAATGCAAAGCTATTCTTGCCCTGTAGCCAAGCTACTGAGAACTGACGTTCTGCTGACCCACCACCAGCCCGTTGGAGGATTATGATTTGACGGAAGTGGAATGCGTTTGGGCGCAGCTGGGTCTCCGAGTTCATCAAAGAAGAACCTGCAAAGTTGGATAGCAGGCTTGCGCGCAATGGACACAATGAGAAAGGTCCAAATTTATTCAAATTGGACTGTCAAACGCGCAATAAATGACCCCAGTGGCACCCAACGCCTGCGCAACAAACATTGAATTGGGCAATTAAAACAGCGAAGCGGCCTCGGTTGGCGTAGACCTGCGCCCTCACATCCTTCGCGTTCGTGAACGCCGTGTGGACAGTGCTGAAAGATGCCTAGCATGGGCCACCGCCGGTGTAGGGCACTGGCTTTGGTGTTCACCTCGTATAATGCCTACCCCCCCTTCTTCCATCAACAGCGGAATCGTCTTCCTATACCCGCCGAAGCTTACAGAAGCGCACGTAACCCAAACAACTTTCAGCGGGTAGACACACCCGCAATCCAAAAAAACCGGGCTACCAATGGGTCACCGCAAACCAACAAGAAAAACATATATATATATAACATATAATCTTCTCTGGAGCTCACTCAGTTTCCAAAACACAGAACTTTCCCAAGCTCTTGCCGCTTGATTCCAAAGCACACGGACATGATGAGGGATTCGGTCAGCAAGGCCAAACTCTTTCACTGCCTGTAGACATATGAGGGCCATGACGCCCCGTTTCCATCCTTTGCAATACCCCACAGAGAAAGGAGGAAGGAGCGCTCCGCCTGCCGGCCCGTCACTATAAAAGCGCAAGACTTGAGAGCGTGGGGTCACATGTGGACTTCGCCCTTCACACACCATGAAGCATCACAACACACAATGATTGAATTGCGCGCAGGCCTCCGAAAATGCTTGGCAACTCCGTATACTCGGCGTCCAAGAACTCCCGAGGCACGGTTGTGGTTGACAACTTGGACACCCCAGGCATGTTGGGATCCGTACGTAGCCTGTCCCAGTGACAAACAGACTGATTTCTCAAATGAACACCGTGATTTCTCCACGCCTATTACCTGTTTCTCAACCCCACAAAATGCAATGCGTTGCAAACTCGCCCGTTCTGCACACATTCAACCACCCCACAAAGCAAAACACGTTCATCCCTTGACTCTTCAACTGACCGCGACAGCGTGCCCTTCTGTCAACATGAGCTCAGCGATGAGGCATGATTGGTCAGGCTCTAAAAAGCCACTGCAACCAAAATCAGCCCTCCAAGCCAACTGCCATGGTCGAAGTACTTGTGCACCTTCTGCCTTCACCGCGTAGTCAAGCCTGCGTCAAGTGTTTGGCAAATGGGATGAAACATGGCGCGGAATAGCAATTGTTTGCCCTCGCCAGCTGGTCTTTTGAAACTGGGCCCCAGGCGCGGGATCGGCTTTAGCGTACTCGTTGATCCACTCAGCAAACTGCAGCTTCTTCTCCTATCCAAACCACTCATAACTTCAAGAACTCCCCTGACCACACATTACAGCCTAAGTAATCTCACCCATGCAGGTCCTGTGTGTCGTACTCACGGCTCAGATACTTGTCAGGCCCTCCGGCTGGAAAGACCTTGTCTTGAAGCCTGGGTCGCATCAAACGCTTGATTTGTCTAATTGCAAGTGGGCGGGAGGTGTGGTATGGTCGGAAGAACTGGCGCCTTCAGCATAGACTTACGCAGCCCAGCAACCAAGACACTACACAAGTCACATAAGCCTGGTCAGCAGGACGAACATCTGTGGAAGGCTTGGCCGCCTTGGACTTTGGGTCCGCACCGCTCGAAGACTTCCGCTTCGCCATGATGGCAGCGGTGAAGGGAGGAGGGCGACCACTGTGATCCACAAGGTCTGAGGAAAAAAAGTTTTCTGGGACAATAGCCGTGCAAGAACGCGTTTCGCAACTCTTGCTTCCTTGCTGAATCCGCATCAAGGTGGGACAAGGACACAGCCAACTGCTGCTCTACCAGAAACCCAAGGAGTTCAGTCACACTCACATCCAAAGTTCCAAAAGAGACGGATTCCAAAGTTCCAGAAGAGACGGATTCCAAAGTTCCAAAAAGAGGCGGATTCCAAATGTCCACAAGTGACGGATCATACCTGCGATCAGTCACTTTTTACTTCCACTGGAACCCTTGATGAGGCCGTGGATTGTTTTGGATTTGCGCCAGAACGCTGCGCTAGCACCTGAAACCCATCTCTTCTGCCAAAACCACATGACAATGTAACAACAGAAAGTGATCCGTCTCTCTTGGATTGATGGGATCCGTCTCTTCTGGAATCTGAAATCCGCCTCTTTGAGTGAACCGGGAAATCGGTCACTAATGGGCACATTGCCGAGGGAGGCTCAAAAGTGACTGATCGCTGGTGCGATCGGTCACTTTTGGCGCTGCTACTGCGCGCTTCCCTTGGTACTTAGTCGGTGACTCCCCATGGGTCGCTCCAAAAAACAATCCAGGAGTGACTGATCACACCTGGGATCAGTCACTCTCAACACCTGCAAGCAAACCACTCCAGAAGTGACCGATCTTTCTCACAACACAACAGCTTGTAAAAGGAACTAAACTCTCGCGATTTTTTTTTAGCGTTTTTTGTATTTGTTTCGGCTCTCTGGTTTTTTTTGGTGCTTTCGAGCAACATAGGGCATATTTATGTTTCTTGTTTTTCAAAAAAACGATCCACCGTTGGAACAGTTGGACAGACTTGCTGGCGGTCAAATTTCTCAAGCAACACCAGTCCAGTGTCAGAAGTTGTCTTGGGAGGTAAGAAGGCTCGGCAAGATGCCAGAAAGCTTTTCCTTTCTGGTGAATGCCGTGACCGCACCTTTTGGCTTTTGCCAAATTATCGCAGCTAGCCCCGGCCTTTGCCGCGGCCCACACCTTTCTTACCTTTACCTTTGCCCCCCTTCCCTTTGCGAAGGGGGGGTGGCATGGCTGCGCCAGCTGCTCTATCGGCGGCGCTTGCCACTTCAAATGCCTCTGCCCATGGCACACCATAGCTCCAAGCCCGAGCAGCAGCTCGGAGAACAATAGATTCACGAGCTTTCTTGACATGCGCCGACACGGTTCGCATATAGTTGTCTGGTTTCAATAGCCTTGGTCTGAATGTTGTTGATGCATAAACATGAAAATGACATCACTGCTCTAGAACCTGAAGGCCTGAAGGGCTGTGCAAGATAGAATCTGAAAGCGTATAAACATGTATAAACAATAGATATTATACTTACCAGAAGTAAGCCACGATTATTTGCGCTCTGAAGTAGCGTAGTTGTGTGTGGGAAGCACCCTCATAGAGCGATATACGCATATTAAATGTATGCACACTAACTAGCAACTAGCGCTACGCCTTGCCGCGAAAAAGGGGCAGAAACCTCCAAGTGTCCCATTCATTTACAAGGCTGTCCCTCGCGAACATCCTCTTCACGTTCAATGGTTTGCAAAGTAAAACTATTCGATTCAGCTTTGTGGCTTCAGTTCATTTGGGTCGACCAGGAAAGGATCAGCATTCATGCGAGCTTGGCTGTTGGCAGCAGAACATCTCGGGCCGCTCACAACCATGCACCTAAAGACGCGCTGCGCATAACAACCCCCTTTGGCCAGGTTGGCTTTAACTTGAAAAAAAGGTAAACGCATGCCTTCAAGATCCAAAGCACGCGTCAATTGACAGCAATGGAGTGGGAGGCAAGGTCCCGTTCAACCAGGCTTCGATCCAGTCAGCCGCCTCCTCCAATTTGTACACAGGCGCACGAAGTAGCGACAAGAACTTTTGCAAATGGCTCTTGTAGTCTTCAGCAATGGGACGTTTTTCTGCCACGACTGCCAGGGGGCAGGGGCCAAAGAACAGCTAGGCTTTTGAAGGACATGTGTTTCAGGGCGGGCTTCAAAATGTGTGGGTGAAACAAACAAAAATGAAGGGTAGAGCGAGTGTCGTTGATAGTTTTCGCTTTCGAACCTGCTGGAAGCCCCAATGGCATTCTGCTCAAGGCGACTCTGCGTGGCAAAAAGAGGAAAGTGGCGCTGTACTCTGAGTCAGCCATCCACCTTTTTGTCCTGAAAAGGACCACACAATGACAACACAAACGTACGACGCTGCTAGTCTTCGTGGTCGCTTACATGTTTCTACCAAATCGTTTGTGATCTGGGCCTTAGTGGGGGAAGATGCACCTTTCGGCTTCAATAGCATCATTGTAGCGTGGCTTTAGGATCAACGAAGGAAACAGTGACGCTGGTAAAGCTGAAAACTAAACAGTTCTCGCATCGTGGCGTGCGCTTTGGCCAAGCGAAAAGGAAACTTGTCATTATTTACATTACATTCCCATCTTCATATTGACACAACCGTCAACTCCCAGCACAACACCTAGGCTTTGTTGCTGTAAAACGGTCCTCAGAACCACATCGTGATGGTCAGCTTCGAACTCGGGCCAATAGGTGTTTGCGACTGCAACACCTGGAACGTCGCACCGTCTCGTAAAGTTGAAGACGTGAGGGGCACCGGGCCCGCCCACTCCTTTGAGTTGCACTGGCACGGCAGCAAGGTGCCAACCTTTCCTGAGCTGCCCAAAGAACGCAAAACATGTATCATCGTTATAATATGACGCCGTTCAGTTTCACACACAAACGCCCAACTGAGGGGCGACGCGTCACTCACGACAAGTCCAAAGG